CACTCATCTTGTGTGTCAAACAGAGAAGAAATTATTTCTGAGTTTAAAAATAGTCAACACAATTTGGAAAACATGGTAAAATTTATTTATGATAATAAATATGTTTTTAATGAAACCCAAGGAGGTCCAAACACAAACTGAATCATGACAACCCAATGGTCTTTTTAACAAAGGCATGACATATGTCCCATTAAATTGCTAAATGATGTGATTGTAGAGAAATGATGACTAAAAAATATTAAAATCCTTTTAAACATATTATCTAATATAAATATTAATTCTGAAATGGCATTCAAAAGTAGTCCCTTTGTCTTAACTTCATCTGCTAAATTATTGTACCTTTACAAATTTCTTTAAAGCATTGTTATCATTCATTTCAATGTAAAACTGCTAGCACTTGGCTTGACTTTCCATGGAGCACTAAATTCCATCACATTAGTACATATGTAAGTAGGTATGACATTTCATTTATAAATATATGCATCTGAAAGGGCCACTAAGTATCCTATAAGTAATCTAGTATCAAGGATACCCATAACACATGGTATATATAATGACTGACTAAAACAATTATATGCCTATCTAATTTATATTTACCTCTAACAACTTCAAATTTCTTTTAAATTGAACTTACCTAGTTAGACAAACATTAGTTTGTTACAAATTTAAGTGTCAATATTTAAGTACCATTAAATCAGATGATTAAATAATTTTTTGTTGCCTTCCCTAAATCCAACTCATTCTTTTCCAGGAATCATTTGGACCCATTTTATAAAATACAAAAATCAAATTAAATGCAAGAAAATGCATTTTTAAATAAAATTTTCTTCTTGAAAATTTACAACACAGTCCTCCCACTGTATCTGAATGATCAGGAACTGCAAATTATGAAAAGGATGATAAAGTTTTATAAAATGAAATTCCAGAAAGAAAGGCACTTAGACCATGCACATGGTATTTCCAATCTTTATATTGTACAACCCTTATAAATAGAATTGATTTCTGGCTTTCATACATATACAGCAAAGTGCCAGAATAAAATCAAATCAGAATACTTATGAGAAATAATCAAACTGGCTACCAAATGTTTCACATCAGTAGGAAAATTTCTTAGAGACAACTGATGGAAATTTGAAGTGTATGATCCTACAACAAGTGCAGGAAAAGATATAAAGTTGTTGAAGAAATTCCTTTAGTTTATTGACTAAAAAGCCAAAACAATTGTTGTAACAGTAAAGCTTGACAAGATAATTAAATGAATGATAACAAAATCTCAGCAGGGAAGTGCCCATTAATTGAATTTATTTGGGAGCATGTTTTCACAAGTATAACCAAATTATCTAATTTTCACTCACATTAAAAACTGATAGTCTACAACAACTAATTACTAGAAATGAAGGAAAAGGCAAGTACTTTGAACCAATAACACAGAAGAAAATAAACATCAAAGCACTGTCATGAGAGTTGACAGCTTCCTCAGAATTCCATTCATCATTTTGCTATGTGAAAGTATTTCAGTGAAACTCACCAAAGAAAAGAATCCCAGTCATTTCTATGTAGTAGTGTCTTTAAAGCTGGAACACATTTACAACATTTTTTTGTATTCTTTCTTGATATTAGTATATATATCATTATGAGTATGTTAACAGATGGGATAACTGAGAAAATATCATAGATAAAACAGTTGAGATTTGGCATTTTCTTCCTGTAGGAAAATTAGTGCTATCCTGTTTTTTCTTTGTAGTATTCAATATGGTCATTATTTTCTTTTAAAAAAGGTTGCTACTGTTTTCAGGCTGTGCAGTTAAAAAAAAAAATCTTAACCAAAACATCATTATAGGAAACTTAAATTTGAAATCAAGAATGCAGACTTTACCCAGATTTTTGTTTTGCTCTCTTAACAGGAGCTCTCTAAATGCTAATTGGGTATTTTTAATGTTTTGACAAATGACTTTCTAATTTCCATAAAATTATTGATGAACCTTGGACACATCTACAGTAGTTGGCCACATTTGTTCACAGTTAACATGTTCAAAAGAAATTTAAAACTATGAAATCTGTCACCTTAATATTTCTAATTTCATACACTGAAACAGCATGAATCTGTTGCTAAACATTTGGCAATAATTTTATATAATAGCAAAACAATAAAAAAAAAACCCATTTGGCTTAGTGTTTGTATATATTCTACTCAAACTTGACCATTTCCAATTTAATCTGAAGCAGGAAAATCTGAATTAATAAGTAATGCCAAAACATTCTTTCGATTTTGTAACATATTTTTTCCAAAGAAAATTATCATCTAATTAAATATATTTTATATATATTTATTAAAATTTAATAACATTATTCAAAATATGCCTTGAATTTAAAAATGTTTCAGCTTTAAAAACAGTTCTTAATGTTCTACTTATTGTGGGGTATCATTTTACATTCAGAAAACTAGCTGCTATAATTATGAAACTAGAAAATAAGACTCATTCACAATGACATTATTACAACTTGGGAATAGTAATAAAGCCTAGTGCTGCTTTATCTTCCACAAAGTTGGTGCTATATTAATTTAGAGAAAATAATAGGGCTAAGTCATTTTCTTAAATTAATATAAAATAGATGTCTGTTATGGTACAGATTGATTTTTGGATAAATTTAAAGTAACAGATAGGTATCAATATGACCATCATTAAACCATATTAAAAAGTTTGATTTTTGTCAAGTGAAAAAGTGAAAGAATTCATTCATAACTTATTTTGTTGTCATTCTACTTGTTTTTTTAATCTTTTGTTTAATCAATTTAGTAAAAGACAGTTTTCTGATTAAACAGTATTTCAGATGCTTAACAATTTTTTTTATTGGTTTCCATTGGCAGTTCACAGTCTAAAAGCATAACCACATTAGGCAAAAGCTGCATGTAGACCGCTCTGGATTTTGAAGACTTTTGCTTCTAACAGATTTTTATTTGATGTTATCAAGCAATATTTGCATTTTACTGGTAGTTAATAATCCAAAGGGAAAATTATAAGCAAAAAATTTCCTTGAAATTGAAGATTTTTCTCTTTTAGTGTCAGTTTAATGTCTTGCTCAGCACTTTTAAATTCTCTTAGAATGATAACTTTCAATCCATTACTTTCTGATAGTTTAATCACCATTATATTATGAACCTAACTATTCTGAGTCTGTCCATGAAATATCGTACATTTATTTCCAATAAACCTTTCCCGGATGACCAGAATTGGAACCTGTGTTTCTAACTAAAAACAACCAGTACATTTTATTTTTACAACACTTTAGCATACGAGATATTTAAAAATACAAAGCTAAAATTTTTCATATCGGTAAGTTCCTGGGCATACAAATTTATAATGTTGAAGTTTCATCAGTTTCCCCTTAGATGAGACTTGCCTTTAAATGCATGATGCGCTTTCTGTAGAAGTTACCTATATGTCTTCAAAAACCCGACTGGTCTAGAAAAATGACTTTCTGAGACAGTAATATTTCTTTTTTTTTTTTTTTGAAAAAAAAAGACAAAACAGCAACAAACATTTTAGCTCTTTAATGAGCAAAGATCATGTCTCTTAGCATTGGACTAATAGTCATTATCCAGATTATCTTTATTTCACGCAATGACCAGTGACATGGCCAAGATGTACAAAGTTGTTTCCATCAAGTAGTATACAATTTTTTGTTGTATAATAAGCTTTCATTCTTGAAAAAGAGTAACTGAAAAGAAAGGTTTCTGTTACTGCAGTTAGTTTGTCAGAGAAAGTTCTTTGCATTATCTTACAAACTATCAAAATTGCTAGTCATCTGAAAAAATGTAAAAAAAAATCACATAACTTTAGTCTAATAGAAATATAGTACAGGTAAGAGAGAAAGTATCAGGATGTGCTCTTTAAGTCCATCTCATTTTTTTTTAATATAAATGTACATCTGATTACATATACAAACATTTGGAAAGGTCTGTGATATACTGTTACTAGTAAACAACAGGGGGATGAAGAGTTTCCTGTGGTCTTAGAATATTCGCTTAAAATCACACATATTGTGAGACTAAAATCCTCCAGGTGTTGACTCTCCTTCTAGGTTCTTTATCTACGTCGTAATCTACTGAGATTGTGTGAATAAATTCCAATGAATGAACCTCAGTGAGAAAGATAAGTGATGTGAGGAGGGACATAACTGTATATTGAATTATTAGTAGTAAACATTTTGTCATGCAATGTGAGTAAATCAATTAACTGAGAACTGTAATCAGAGTGGTAATTTGGGGCATCCTCATATCTTAAAGGACTGTTGCAAGTAACTCTTTGGACACACTTCACCCTACCCAAAGGAACAAAATACAGAGTAACAAAAACCACAGCAAATTATAGATCCTTTAACACATGTCCAATTAGGATTACATTTGTATCAATTATTTAGATGGGAATGAAAAGAACATTAAAAACACAGGAATTTTTTTTTCTGGGATTCATATCAGTGAGTATTCATCACTATACCTAAAGTTTCTTCAAATACCTTTAATAACTAATTCCCTCTATTATCAAAACTACTGTGAATTACTTTATTATAATTACTTTTGCCCCTTAAAATCTTCTTTTGGTTCTGCCAATTGATGGAGGAAGCTTCTATTAAAAAATCCAATGGGATGAGAAGAATTTTAATTACGGCTTAATCAGCAGCACAGCCACCAAGCATATAAATTATCATGCACATCGTGCTAAAAATATCCAGTTTCCTTTATCCCCACAACTTTATACTGACAGCACTTATGTGATAATGTTGTACCTGCCAGTCTTTAAACTTCTCTGTTTTACTGGCAAATTTCAGCATAAGCCTCTGCTAAGGCCATTAACAGCATTGGTGCTTTGTGTATTTATCCAGATATGTAAATATGGTCTACACAATAAAACAGCTCCAAATAAAAACTGGTGGAAATTATCTGACATTCCATTGGTGTGTCCCTTGTGCATATTCATGGTTGTTTTTTGATTTTGATGTTTTATATTTCAGACATAGTTCTTTCCTGTTTGGTGTTCCACATGCCTAATTCCATTACGTAACATAAATCTTCAAAAAATTAATTCTTGAATGTGAATGAAAAAGTATCATTCAGAACAATTGCTTCAAGCAATTGGAATTTGTTTTAAAGTTGATTTGTGTATATATGTACAATTCATTTTTTTCAAAACCCCCAAAGTTCTTGATATGTATATTCACATAATATTCCTCCTTATTTAAATAGTAAGAGTCTTGTAGGTTGAAAGCCAAGGAATCTTCAGTAATCTTTTACTGCAATCCATCAAAAAAAAATAGAGTTTGTTTCTCTTATCTGGCTATACCCTGGTTGTTGAATGTGAATGGGGGTGGGGATGGGGATGGGGCAGAGTATTGTTCTGTCCTCCTGTAAATGTATTGAATGTGTGTAAGGGTTGAATCCCTGGTATAGTGTTGGGAATCATTGTAATGGTGTTGGGTGTCATTAAGGGAACATCATCGGGTGACCTCCTCATAGCTAGTGTGTAATCTGGGGGGCAGGCGGTCCGAAGAACCACCTCATGTGGATGGATGGACTCACATTCATGATCCAAATCAGTGTGCTTCATTTGAAGGGACATGAGCTCCTCTTCTTGGGCATGGGTAAGATCATTGGTTGTCGTACGCTGAGGGCTGCATCTCCGGTGAACATCATGTCTCCTCTTATCCTTTTTGTAGTACAGGGCTGCAAAGGCCAAGATGTTCAGGAATAGCAATGAAGCGCCAACCGCAATCGTGACACTCAGCTCTGTTGAGTAGTCCCTTTGATCCACTGAAAATGGACTTGGCTGTTGCTTGGGATCATCCTGCTTGGCAGTGGGAAAGGCTGATGTGACAGGTACAGAATTTTTTCTCGTAGGTCTGAAAGTGATATCAGTTGATGGCACTTTAGTTGTTGTCGAGGTATACTGAGAAATGTCATTGAGATTATGTAGATGAGGTACCAGCTCCAACCAGAGGTTCACCTTATTGGCTCTGTAATGTTCCTTAACTCTTGGTTTTAATCCAATATGGAGATAAAGTTGGTCTTTCTGGGAATATCTGGTCCATGCTACTTCTTCAAAGCGGTTGGGTTTGGTATGGATGAATTTTGTGTCTTGTGGAACTGGTTGATTTGGGTCACTAGGAAAGAGAAAGCAAATTACTTGAACAAACTTACTTTTTCCTTAATCCACATATTACTAATTTAATATTTAATTGAAGAGATAACACAGTTTTTAAACTGTGTTTCAACAACAATTTGGGTCAATTTAGAAATATACATCCCATCACAGGATGATTGCTAGATGGATAATGATGTAATGAGAGTAAACCTCATGTTCTTGGTTTCTCTGCCTACTCAGAGATGGGTTGCTGTTTACTCAAAATTTCAAAAATTTGTACATATATATGTTGCCTCATAGAAAGACTAACAGAGTCCTTAAGGAAGAGGGAAATGACTTGCAATTTAGAACTGGCAGATGAAGATTTGGGTCTTTGTGAGGCAACATACTAGATATAGGAATATCTATATGAAGCTCTCATAGACTCATGTCCCTTCTCTGTAAAATGGGATTAACAGCACCTGATCTGCTCACCTGACTGGTTAGCTTGGAGAATCAAAAGGCATAACAGTATGTAAGCTGGAAAGGACTGTAAAATGTTTGTCACTACTGACTAACAATAACAGTAAGTTCTGTGTAATTAAAAAACAACATCTAATTATGGGGTAATGCAATTGAGATACAAGCCTTTCTTAACAAACATCTAAAAAATAGGAACTAATGTGATGATTTCAAAACATCACAATATAGAATCCTGAATAAAGGAACTTGCTGTAATTGCTGCTGTTAATCTACTGGTGAAATCATTTGGACTAAAAATATTTATTTTTTGATATACCTAAAAGAATATTTTTTAATCAACTTGTAGAAAATTTGATTCCTTAGATACATACCCAGTTTTTGCAAAATTTGTCCAATATGTCATTACTACTGCACTCAGCATGACATCATTTTTGGAGAAATTGCAAGGAAATAACTCTGTCGGTCCAATCATAGGGATTCCTAGTACATAAGGAACCTCATCTCCATGAGCTGCATCAGCCCAAGCTGGAACCTGATCTGTTTGGCAATGATGGTAAAAGGCATAGAAATATGTAGGTGAACCAAAGTTTGAGTGAAGATCGGCAGTAGCTACAGCTGGTGCCACCCACTGATGGTCTGTAAACAAAGCCAGTAATGTCTTCCTTCTGGTTTCAGGGTTATGACGGTCAGCCCAGTCAGTATACATGAATTTAATGGTTTCTCTCAAAACATCCTTGCCTTCAGGATACCCATATAGATTATCAACAAAATTGGAAACAGCAAAGTCAAAATCACTAGCTGAAATGCCATCATCGCTATCTACTATATTTTCAACAAACTTTAACCCTTCCCCTTGGTTAACACCTAACATTATATCATAGTTGAGAAACTCTCCTTGTTCCATCAATATCTGAGGGTCATCAGGTATGACATCGCCATCAATCACAGGTCCAAAGGCTATGTGGTATCGTGCTGGTTGAATATCTTGGTCAACAAGTTCTTTGTAAGGCTTCTTCTGTAGACATTCCACTAACTCTACTGTATCTGAAACATTGCAACCAACTTTTGTGGCCAACATTCTAGCATATTTTGCAGGTTGGAAACTAACAGCCCAGCTGGAAAGAGCTGTTCCACTCTGAGCTATTGCTCGTTGAAAAAGTCCTATAGGAAAACAACAAAGAGTTTCAGATGAATGTTGAACAAATTTGTGAGTAAACAGTAACATCTACTATTTTAGACATGTATATAAAAACCCAGGTACAAATCAAGAAACAGAGATATTGACATTTTTGTTCAAGAGAAAGTACATATAGTCATCCCCAGGGTACAATGAATCGGAGTGGTAAACTTAAGTCCTATGCCTTGAGTAACAACTACTTCAGAGATCAAGAGGTCTAAATTGTGCAGTGTCTCAAAGAAGTTATTAGCAAGGAGAGGAAGAGAATGCCTAAATATCAGTGGAAAAAGTCCCACATATTTTCTTCACTCAGCATGTACCCATGATATTATCAAAACTAAGCATAGGGGGTCAACTCTCTCCTGTTTAACTCTTCATAGGCTGTATTGTCTTTGGGAGATGTTTCCTCTAACTTGACTACATCTATCTTCCTTCAAAATGGCTTTATATATTTGTTTTAAAATATATTTTAGAATTCTTTTAAAAAAGAATTGTTGAGAGACCACACAAATTCTGGGATTGGAGATTTGCTAATACCCTGGGAATGGCCCTAAAGACACACAAAACAAAATATCACTTTACACATACTCTTTCCAGCTCTTCATGTCAGACATAGTATGCTGATTATTCATCTTTCAGAAGAAGACATAACATTGGAAGTGTTTTCACTAGGTTAAAGAAAAAACCATCAGCAGAAGGATTTAGTTGGGAGGTTGGGATGATTTAACTTTTCCACCATTGAATGTGCACTGTCATATTTTATTATAAAAGATGAACTTAGTTTACTGCTTTTCACTTAATTGCATTTAAGAATTACAAATCATGGTCTCCTATAAAGTTTGGCAAGTGCTGCATGCCATTCAAATTTACAAATATACTTTATCTATATTTAAATAAAATTCCTGTTTTAAAATATAATTTATTTTCCTTTTTAAAATTATTTTCCCAATTTTCAAATTCTGCTTTACAGTTCAGTTATTTAAACACATCCTCAATTAATCATATGTGCTATTGAGTTAAGTGTTTTCACAAAGTGCTAAAACAGCATCTAAATTAGAAGCAAAGTTTTAGATTTTTCTCCAGACACATATATGTGTTGCAAATGTCTGTGATATGTTCCTAGATAATTCTAAAAATATTCACAAAGTCAAACAATGTGAATTTAAATTTATTTTGCTTGCTGACATCTTATGAACATATTTTAATTTGCTAGAGCAAAGCACACTGGAGCAAAGTGCATAAATACTGATAATTTTTTAAAAATTATGTAGTCTATGTGTTTGTCAACATTTGCTCAGAAAGATATTTCTCTCATTAAAAACTTTACAACTAAAATAACCATGCTAATTTCTAGAACGTTCTTTCACTTTGCAGAGGCTCAATGATATTAACTAAATGTACTAGAAAAGATGTGGGAGAAAAATGCACATCAACTTAAATATAGCCCAATATATACCAGCTGGGTATTGGGGAAACTATATATTTTATCATGTGCAAGCTGTATTTGAGTTATGGTAGCTACAAGTCTGTTTGCAGGTTGGCAGAATTAGCCTGATGAATTCAAGAGCATTTCCTAATCAAATCAGACAGCTTTATCAGTGGAGTTAGGCTTATTAGCACTAGATCAAACATAAATCCATTTCTCTGGTTTAGGCATGGACAAGATTTCCTTGAGGAGTATAATGAATGTTATATATTCAACAGTTTGCATAACCTCTTGCCACTGTTTACCAGGTCACACTAGATGAACAGCTATGCTAGCTGATGAACTAATTGATTCATCTATTCAATGCCAGTATTTTTCATTTTCTCTAGTTTTTTCAATTTTTGTTCAGTTTTCAGAACTGTATTTTTAATTTTTATTTTTTTTCTTTACTTTTGACTTTTTCGAATACTAGTTTTAACTGGCTGATGCTGATTTTGGTATCCTTTTTTGCTTTACATTTACAAAAATTTCAGAAAAAAATGGGAAGAATAACAATTGTCTTCCAATAACCCTAAGAAATTTGAACAGATCATCTAAAGGTAACCAAGACAAATATTGGCCTTAGTATAACCTAAGGCTAGAACAATCCAATCTGTTCAATTAAAAAACAAAACAAAAAATTTATTTCAAAAAAGATCAGAAGTTCTATGCAATTTGGCAATGTTCTTATATATGTCATTTTGTCATCTCTAGTCAGAACCTACTAATATAAATGAAAAGCTCTGTAAAGTATGTCTATTAATTAATTCTATAATAATATATGATTTTCCAAATATGTAACTCATTTGATGACTGTTCTTTTGAGATTCTACACACATACATCTTTGATACAAAAAATAAACATTCTATTCTGGTGTTCATATAATAAAGCTCACTCTTACAGAATAAGACACATCATGAAATATACCCAACAGTATATACTGTCTTAGATTTATAAATGACAATTTAATAGACTGGTAATATAAGATGTGTTATGTTAATGCATATTTTCTATTAATGTGTGTAAGAGAGAGAAAGTGGTGTTTTCGTACACTTCTCTAACAAAACACTTATGTTTTTGTGGCTATTTCAAGTTAATTATACAAGTAGAATGGATGACTAAATAATAGGAAAATGGGAGACCATCAAAAAAAAAAAAAGGTAAACCTTGGACAGGCAATTTGGAGAAAGTTTGTCAAGGTCAGAAAATGGAGACAAGAATAATATTTCCTGGGTTTAAGAAGCCTCTGTGTTCCATGCAGCTTTGCCAAGATTCAAGGATAAAAAAAACAGCACTTTGGGAGTTGAAAATAGAAAAAGCACAAATTTGAACATATTTTGCTTTTTAATCAAAAACTCTAGTAGTGACCTTGATGCATTGACAATTTTGGATCATGCATGCAAAATAATCAAACATCCATTCTCAACTCAGACTACAAGTGAAAATCACATTTTCAGACAAACTATTTTACAACTGCTTCCTATCATCTTACTAGTAAAGTGTCTTAAATGTCTATTGTCTTGAAAATAGATCATATACAATCCCTGCTTTAAAAAACACTTGTCTTTGATTTTGATTACTGAATAAACAGAGATGACACAACTGAACTTCTTTGATTTTCCTAAAAATCATCCTTTGGAGGAAAGAGAAAAATGGTAATGATAACTATTGTGAAGTGTGCTTGAAAGGGCATCTTTGCCAGGATCCAAAGAGACAGAGAAAAGAGTGTGACAAAATTTTAAACATGCATAGAAAAGCTGAAGAAACACTCTTAAGTAGTTTAACCTCACACTCAGTTTGAACAGAGAAATATATACAGAGCATCACATACTACCGATGGTGGTGGCATGCAGACACCAAAATTGTCAAAATTTGCAACCTGCATAATACCTTTGGTTGAATTGCTCCAACGGTTACCTTCAGAATAATGGGATAAAGTCAGCAGATTGACACATGAACCCCCAGCACCAGATCCAAAAACAGTGATTCGTAAGGGGTCACCACCGAAGAATCCAATGTTTTCACTAGTCCATCTTAAAGCCTGTATGAGATCAAGGAGTCCATAGTTTCCTTTTGCAGCCTGATCCCCTGTGCTCAAGAAACCTGAAAAACAGAAAAAGACACCTTAGAATATCCTTTTGAGTTGACATGAATCAAAGAGGCATTAAATTTAAGTACATTTGAAGCCAGTGTTCATCAAAGTGGATATCAACCAAATTCCTTAGTAAAAAATTATTTCCCACATGAATCAAATATTTATTTAAGAAAGATGTGCTGGGCCTCCCTAGTAGTGCAAGGCGTTAAGACACAGCCTATGAAGCTGTTCGCAACCTCTGCAGCACGAGTTTGATCCCCCAGCAGGCCAGGGAGCAACCCACATGGTGCAGCAGACCTCTCCTGCCTCGCTTGCTGCTCCCCTCAGCAGTGTACTTCGGTGGATCTGCCTGTTCTGTTCCCCACTCTGTCTCTAGTGGATCCTTTCACACCCCACACCTCTGGCCTGTACCCCAGTTCTTGTATGCATAAATAAATAAATCTTAAAAAGAAAAAAAAGAAAGATGCGCTTTCTTTTTTAGAGTTAGAGAAAATTTCAATCTCTATGTTTTTAGTATTTAATTTCTAGAAACATTAAGTTATATATACATAAATACACATATACACAAATATGTGTATGTATATACATACAGATGGCAGATATGTGTATACACACACATATGTGTCTGTATACACATATATGTAAGTCCATAGTATTTGGCTTAAAAAAGTGGGAAAGGAATATTCTGTGTTTATCAGTGCTTTTGCCGAGATACAGATTATTGTGGTCAGTTCATTGAGTCAAATTGATATGCACTTTAAAACAGAGACCATATTGAATATTAAGGAGCCACTCTTTGAAGACAGGAGACCTTGAATAATATTGAGGCATTCTTCTAGGGACTTGTGAATATGACTCAGAAAAATTTCTCATTAAGGATTTTTGCATTTTAAACATGAAAAGATTTAAAACTTTGAGATTAATACCTTAAACCCTTCCAGTTAAAAATACAACTGAAAATTCCATGTGCTAACTCTTATCTCCTTACTTATCAAGCCGAGTTAGTTCTTCGACATTTTATCTCTGTATCCTGATTTCCACTCATGTCATTGACTTTCTAGGTTCTCCTTTTCTTAGAATTCTGAAAGTCTTGTAGTTAGTCAAACTTACAATAAAAAAAGTTTATTGTCTGTCTAAAATACAGCAATAACTATGAAAATAAGTTATTTCCTTTTGGGGGAGGGAAACAGCATTCCCAGGAAAAAAAATTAATTATTCAGCTATTTAATGTACTTGCACCAGAAATGTAAAACCTCAAAACATTACTACTTTTTAAACTTAAGACTAACTTTGAAAATTCCTGATTATGTCAACAATTATTTCACCGGCTCATATATCTGCAATTGCGATTCCACTATTTATTCAAAGAATTTATTTAATAGCATTCTTCACACACCCCCCAAATTCATTCTATTGAAAATCATGCCCAATTTTCCTTTTTTTTTCCTTAAAGTATCATTGGTTTACAACACTGTATATTATTTAGGGGGAACATGTTTATACCTCTATGTGTTACCATACCACACCCACCACCAAAGCACCCGTAATTCTTCACCATAGACCACTGGGCTCCCTCCCTCATTTTCTCCCACCCCTACCTATCTCTCCTAGCAGTCTTGGTAGTTATCCAAATAGTGCAAAAACAGTGATTTGTAGGATAATGCACTCCCATGTTCATTGCAGTACTATTTACTATAGCTAAGTTATGGAAACAAATTTAAGTGCCCAATTCACAGATAAGTTACAAAGGGTGTGATCTGTATACAACATGGAATACAATTCCATTATAAAAATATATCATTGTTTTTATATGGAATTACTAGTTCTTGTTTTCTGTTAAATAGCTCATAAATAATTAAAATATCTTTTCTGAACAATATTCTGTTCTAATGGGGAAAACTGCTATTCCAAAATAAAATCCTCATAATCAAATGTGATTGTATTATTTCCATTCATTTCTCTTTGATTCAAAATGATATTTAAAAACTCTTCAAATCAGACACTTGGGAGTCTTTGTAGGGAAAAGGAACACATACACAGGGCCTCCCCGGTGGCGCAGCGGTTGGGCGCTGGGTTGCGAAGCTGCCCGCGGCCTCTGTGGCGCCGGTTCGATCCCCGGCTGCTCCCCGGCCACCAGAGGAGGGTCCTGCATGGCGCGCGGACCTCTCCTGACGCCCGCTGCTCCCTCAGCAGTGTACTTCGGTCCTTCTGCCTGCTCTGCTCCCCGCTCTGGCTCTGGTGAATTCTCTCACCCTCCCGCGCTTCTGAATCTACCCAGTGCATGTATAAAAAAACAAACAAACAAATAAATAAACATGCCTCTATAAAAACAAAAAAAAAGAAATTAAAAAAAAAGAACACATACACAATGCCATTTAGTCTTAGAAAGCAACGAAAGATAAAGTAAAAATAATTCTCTTTTGTATATATACTCTGGAAAACTCTCTGAAATGGTACTGACCTTAATGTTATATAACTTAGTGGTATTTAAAAACTGCATATCTTGGTGCATTTGTTTGCACCATTTATTTGTTTGTTGCTTGAGAGATAGTTTGCTTCTTTTTTTTTTTAACATTACTTTATTTTTATTTTTTTTTTAAATAATAGATAGTTTGCTTCTTAATGGCCCATCATGGCAAAAGCAATCTGAGTGACTGGTAAAGGCTTCTGATTTCTGGCAGTTGGACATAGGACATATAGTGGTGAGAAGAAGGTGACTGCCAGTAGATGCCTGGGAAGAAAAAAACCTATGGATGTTTCTCTGTGTTTTAGTCCCCAACTTCCCAATATTTTCACTGTCTTTAAGGTAAACAGGTGAGATTGATTCTATATTAAATTTATATTAAATTTTAACATTTTATGATACTTTCCTCAAATAGGAATAAATTATTTTAACCAAATCCTTCTGAATATAGAGAGTAAAGGATTAAAAAAAAAAAAAAAAGCCCTGATGTATTTAGCTCTGAAAATATGCGCACCATTCTCACTTCAAGAATGGCTCAAGACACTGGGGAGAAAGTATCCTCCCTAAACCCCAACTCCCACGCCATTTTCTCTATAATCCATCCAAACCTAAAACTGTTAATGTTCACACTACTAGGTCTCCATGTCAAGAAAAGCTTATCCAACATTCCCTGAATTAGATTATTGAGTACTTCTTGTCTAAGAAAATCTGGACAACAAACTGGTATCAAAACTGACAAAATTCCTGTGCTTTCTAGATAACTGTTCTCACAAAGTAGTAAAAAAAAGAAAGTAAGAAAATCTTCAGGAACTATACAGTTCAGAACTATACTACATAGCTTCAGAAATAATAAGGGCTATAAAATTTTTGTAAATTTCTGAAATATCTAATGCATACTTTGGTCATTCTCATTTACTCCCATAGTAACACATGTCCATGTGTGCTGTTTGTAATTTATAATTTGCCTATATATTCATTTCTCTTTATTTTCTCCAAACTGGATACTCAATTGTACTGGCCTTTGGAAGATCATTCTATACTTGTTTTCTGAATGAAAGCAGACATTGATATATCGTGACTGATATATTGCAATGGTCTCACACAGAGACCGACAATTATACTTAGTGAAATTGTCAAATTTAGTAAACTTAGTAAACTTTTCAAATGAAACAGAGCTATATGTCTTTTTTTTTTAATGGTAGTAGTGAAGTGGGATTCAAACGAGTAGTCAATCCGTGGAAAATTTTCATAGACATGGGATGGTTGACAGTAGATTTAAAGGGAGGAAAATCTTGCAGTATTATATAGGGACTACTTGAAAGAGGAAGACTCATGGAGCAGTAGGCTAGTCCAGAATATCAGGCCAGATTATTGTCTCAAGAACATAAAGCTTGAGAGACATTGGAGATTTTCTCAACAGTGTTGTAAAAACAGCACCAGACTGAATAGGACAACTTTAATGTATAAACAAGTGACTGCATGAGCAAGTTAGCCCTCTGAATTTTGGTTTCTTAATAAACACAGTAAAATTACCTAATCTGCAGTGATATTATTATTTCAAGAGATAATGTTTTTGGTGCACAAGAAACTGAATAAATGTTGGGTAAAAGTGTTTTGACTTTATAATATTTGATATTTTTCCTCATTATGACCTGCTTCATTAAAAAAAAAATCCTTTTTTGAAGAGAAATCTAAATTTCAAAATAATTAAAAAAAGAGCAGGTTTATAAAATTACAGAATTTTAAATATCAATCAATCAATCAATCAATGACCAATAGACAATAAAGTCCACCATAGAGGGTTTTCAAAAACTATTTTACAGAATGTAGTTTGCAAGAAATTGAATATACCTATGTTGTCATCTAAGTTTTAATCAGGAACTATGGATATTTGTTAATACATAAACATATTTAAGAAATCCTATTAAAGGTAAAAAGTGTTTGTATTTACTGTATGTAGTTCCTTAAAATTTATCTCATTCAATTGAGTTGTATTGAAATGAAAAGTTTTGTGAGCTAAGATTCTATTATTATTAAATAGAAGACACTGTGTCTTGATTTGCTGATCACTCATTAATTTACAATAGTTAGCAAAATTGCTAACAAATATTAGTAGCACATATGTTTAGCCCGTAGAAGAAATGCAGAAAGAAAAGGGAGAAGTGATATATGAGTAATTCTTTTTTTTTGAATTTTAACAAATAATTTTATTTAGAAGAAGTTTGTTAAACATAAGAAATGCTAACATTCTAATTTTTTATTTGTACTTTAATTGTAAGCTTGAATAAAATACAGTCATATGCATCTTTTAAAAGAATCATATATTATAAGATATAACATTATTGCTAGAAAAAACAGATAATGTAAAAATTTTGCTAATAACAAATATGAGTAATCTGACCATTATAAAACAGTCAGTAGCAGTCAGCTACACATAGGAAAGAGATGTGTTCTTTACTCTTATACTAGCGAGCCTTGAGAAAGAAGCCAATAAAAAGGGAAAGTATGGGAGATAATGTCTGGGTATTGCATGATTCTTATCCG